AGTGGAAGACATTAAAAATAAAGGGAAATTGGAAAAGAGGACATGACAAATGTTCCCCCTGGACCCAAGAGTCAAGTCAAGAGCTTAACAGAGACAAAGGGCGCACGCTGCAAACCTGTCTTCCCTCTACAGCTTCATTAAAAAGTTTGCTGTACCAGGGCGTAAGGGCATTGGAATGAGTGAGGATGCGGTGGTTGTGCAAAAATAAGTGAGTTCAAGACGAGGTTGACAAGCAGACCCAAAAGCAACATTGCAATTGGCTGTAGTGCTGTTTACAATGAGCAGAGAAGATATTAGGAATCTTTGGTAAATAGCACAATGTCTAACACAGTGCAAAAACAGCCTTCTTGTCAAGTTATCAAGCCCAGTTTACTGTAAATACTCCTTCTCTCCATGCATCAATTATTCATAGTGCCTTAGATCATGGGATTAAATCTGATATGGCTGCAACTTCCCTGCCTGGTGCAAGAGAGTGCACTAAAATACATTTTCCCCACGCCAGTCTCAGTAACTATTTAACCCTAGCAAAAGTAATATATTTTTACTGTTTTGAGATGATTAACGTTTTATCTGGGTATGATTTTAATGCGTTCTTTTTTCTTTTGAAAAGGTTTGCAATGTGTGTGAGATGTGCGATACAAACTTAGTCTGGCTTAGTATTTACATGTCTGATTTACATTGGATTGTTTATTTAAGTGTCTATATGTTGAATTCATGAGTTTTTGTTACAGGCTCCTGTTAATGAGAATGAGCCGAGATGTGCACAAGCATTCTCTATATTGGATTTAGGTAATTATCAAATCACCTGAGAGAAAACTAAACAGTAATATGACAAAGAATAAGCACATTACATCCTGTTAAAACATCGTAATTACAAGGACAAGGAGCCTCATTTTCCTGCCGCATTATTATCTCAACATTAAGTAAGTGATACTGAGGACAGTGACTTCAATGTGTCACTAATTATATTGGTATAAACTGCAATAATTTGCCATGTGCACAGCCATGGCAGCATGAAATGAGGAGTTTTGTGTCAGTAATGAATGGTTCTATAATACCTGTGCTTGACAAAAGCGATCATCCTGCATCACTGCTCCCAGAAAGCAGTCAGCCACGATTCGAGCTAATGATGCGAATAACAAACCGATACAGACTCCAGCCATAACTGGAGTCCTGCTGTATTCGTACCACCTCTGCTATTACATCTGGACCAGACAGGCTTGTTCAACACGCCAGGTAGCAACTACTTATGTGATGATAATAATCAAGACCATTCAACTCAATGAATGAGGGATCAGGCTGTCTCATTATTAATTAGCCTCCAATAATCTATACTAAACCAGAGGGTCAGAGACAGAACCCCCCCCCCCCCCCCCCAAGCTGGTACAATACACCTGTAGAGGGGGTAATGTAATCCACAGAATATTTATTTATGATTAAAAGTTAAACCCCATTTAATCTAACTTGCCAATCACACTAAAGGATACAGGTACAGAAAGGTTTTTCTAGGTAATGGCCAATCAGAGCAGCATGTTTCACAATCCAGTGATCATGAAGCAGAGAACTTACACCTACTGTGCTGTCGAGGGACGGAGACAAATAATGTAAAACAGTCCCACGATAAAGCAAAGGCTGTTGATTGTGGTCTGCCCGCTGTTTATAGTATGACTGCAATCTCAAGTGTGTATAGTGTTCCAACTACTTTCCTATAGCTCCAGGTGATAATCATTGACAACACATGGAAGCAACCCAGGACATCCATGCAAGTCACCGCACAGAGACGATTAAGCAGAGCACGGCCTGTGCTGTTGCAGCCATCCATAATTGGGGCTGTTGAGATTGATAGCTCGGAAAAAGAGGCTTGGATGATGTTTGGTTCTTAGAAAATACATTCAAAGTGAAGACCAATTTGACCTTAACAAAAGTTTAGAAACTGTCATTCTATTTCTGCTATACTCAACTTCCAACAGCAGTCAGAAAATCATGAGCAGACAGAAATGTCATGAGTGAGGGACCAGCCAAATCTGTGACCAAAGCATCAGGAGGATAATGTGACAGCAGCACATGCCTCTGTCTATTTATCCAATTTGGCAAGTTCCTCCTTTTTTCTATACATTTTGAATCCATATTTTATTCCTGAATAATCACACCAAGCCATCCACAGAGAATCACAGGATCCTGGGTGGTCCTCAAATGGAAGCTGCGGGATTTTCTATCAATGCTGGTGGTATGAGTCTGTCTCAACCAGTTCAAGTCTTCTTCTAAGCCATTACGTGGATATTATACAGTTACAAAACCTCTGTGAGAATCTGCCTGTGACGTCTCCACAATTATTTCTTTCAAGGTTTGGTAGATTCCAAAATATATTGTTCAGTTCAGTATGGCGAGGGAGGAACATTAAGAGTGTTCTGGGAGACATCAGAAGAAACGATAAGATTTCATGAGAAGTAGGTGATTATTTCAATCACCTACTTCTCATGAAATCTTATGGTTTATTGATTATATAATATTTTTTCCGATGGGACACTGAATGTTTATGCACAGACATGATAAAAACATGGATGTGAAAACAGCAGATGACTGATATCCAAGTGCAGTCCCAAAGGGTTGAGGTTACAAAGGCTATATACAGCAACAACAAATAAAACATACATTAAACATGTGACCATTGCACATTCTGCAGTCTTTTGGTGGGAGATTTGTGTTCTATGAAGGTTGTCTTACTTTTATTGTAACAAATAGTTACAACTGTGGAAAGTTGGAGGCAGACAAATATAGAAACACCCTCGGTTGACGCTGGATACGCCACTATTAAGCCAGAGAAGAAAAGAAAAAGAGGATTTTAGCTTAAGCATAACCCGCATTTCCACTGCTACACACTTGAGAATAATTATCCCTCCTTATTTGTGTATTAAGTTAAATTCTGGGTTTTATTTAGGAATTAGGAAATTATACACAGCGCTTTGGCTTGCGTACGGACATCTGTCTCTTTGGAATAATGGCAGCTGTTGTTTAGAAGACACCTCCTGCTATTATTTTGGCACATAAATACAGCCACATTAATGCACCGGGCCACTTACAGACTCATGGGTTGTGAGTTTGAGCTGCAACATTGTGCCCATTGGCAAAACACCTTGTGCATATTTGCTGTAGTACTGTATATATAAGAATGTTGTTACTGTTTTCAGAGATCTTATAAGATATATGACTTTATATGTAAGGTTTTTTTTTTTTGCACAAGCACACAAGGGAACTCGATAATAACATTGGAATTATATTAGGACACTCAATAGCACTGTACATTAAAAAGAGGGTAGTTAAAATCACACTGTAAGCATGACTGAACAGAATGATTTTAAAACTAGATGATTCAGAGAGAGAATTCACAAGTCAGAGAAGCAGCTCTCAAATGTAAAACAAAAAACAAAACTATTTGGCTGGAACTCCCTTAGGACCCTTGTAAATATATTTCTGAGCTGGAACTACCGAGTCATCATTAATTTGTGATTTTTCTATATTCCCACATATTTCACACTGATCAAAAACCTGCTCGCCCTGTCCATACACACTGACCGCTGCCATATCATCAAGACTCGGCTTTCAACTCACTTTTTGACCTAGTCTTTTTGCCGAGCCTTGATCAATGGTCAAATATAGCTGTAATTTAGACACCAGACTGTTCAATCACACGTGCCACTGCATGTTTAAAATGAAAGATCTTATTATGAAATATGCATTGTGTGTGCCTTTTATACATTAGTACATTTGTTGAGGTATAAAACAGAAAAAAAACCAACATATTTTTGGCTTCCATTAGCGCTGCGTCAATAAATAGATATGAGGCCAAGGCATTATAATATTTCCTTTTGTCACCATGCTCTAACTTTTTAGAGTCGTTTGTATTTTACACATATCTATAGTTTGGCCAAAAAAATAGAATATGGTGTGAGCAGCTGTGACATGAGCAAAGGTAGCATAGAGTATCTGTTGTCACATTTTGGATCTGCTGGCACTGCTATCACAAGTGCTTTTATTTGTAAATAGTCAATTATAATACAATTTCCTCTGCATTGACTGCAGACGCCTCCTCCTGGTCTAAAAAGCACTCCTCGCCTTCACACAAGTCCCACGTAAACTGATTTCTGAGACGTAATTTTAATCGTTTCCTTCACGCAGGACTATTTTTAAATCTTTACAAATTAAATAACCATCCTATCCATAATATTGTATTTGTACACAATAAGCACATTATAACAATAGAGATCATTACTGGCCTTATTTCTCCTGCTTCCCACTCATCAGAGCCACAATCTTTTATTATGCAGTCTTCTTATTGGCATGATACTCCGCTTCACCTCTGACTTAATCATTATTGATAGCACAAGCAGCCCTTCTGACTACCCTGAGATGGCTTGTGCCCTTAAAGTACCTCATTTGTGGTGTTTTGAATCAGGCCCCTGTTGTGTTGACAGATAGTAGGTGTACTGATAAACTACTTGCTTCATATCTGATTTATAGTCAGCACTTGTTTCAAACAGACTGTTTCAAGCTGCGTAGCCAGCAACATCATGGAGTTTGGAACACTGTGTGCAGAGCAGTTTATAAAAAATAAATTCATAAATGCATTTTTACAATACTCGATGTTACTGCCTAATTATGTGGTGCCATCTGTGCAGTAATTATCCTCAGAGTTATATTTACCTGTATGCACGACATCTAATGTGAGTTGCTGTCACTAATGAGTCTTGTGTGCCATCTATTGTAACCAGACCTTTATATATGATGGTTTTTATTTGACTTCTGACAAAGCCCAAAATATACCCAGTGTTTCTGCCCTTTTCTTACAGGTGTCATTACGACAACCATGAAGTAACTACAATTCTAGAAATAAAGTGATTCTTCATTCAATCTTTCCAACGACACACTTTGGCACAGCAATACAAGGCAGATAAGAGTGATACATGACCTGTCTGTGGCAACATTGAGTAAGTCCATGTGTGTCACCGGTAACTACTGCAGAGCGCAGAGTGGACTTTGGCAGAGTATTGCAGGCAGGTGATGCTACTCCTGCCCATGGGCAACTTCCGAGTGGTCATCAAGCTGAAGCCAAGAACAGCCTGCTCCATCTGCAGGTCACCTCGTGTTGTCTGTCTCCTAATGTCCAGAACAGCTGGACCTGTTCTCTTCCTGACTGACGGATACAATACAACCATCGTACGTCAAGCATTTTTTAAATGTGCTGGAAACTTCAGCAAGTCCTAAACAGCTATGAAACAGTTGTTGTTTTGTGCTATCTATAGTTCTATCTTCAAAGATCAACAAGATCACCTCAGACCTTGCTCTTCTTTAAAATATACTCTTGATTTCGTAATGAAATTGTTCTGAACAGACTCTTGTCAAGTTGACACAGTAATTGCCAGAGTTGTTGTTGTTTTTGTGAATGTGTTGTGATTGGAATTTCTGTCTCTGTAACCATTACTTGTCCGAGATTAGTTTCCCTACGGGGAGGCAGTGCCGCCTGATATAATGTGATTAAGATTAAGATTAAGAGATCCTTTATTCGTTCCACAATGGGGGAATTTCGGTGTTGCATCACAGGTTATAGGACAGTAGGAAAGAGGAGCACACGTTAAGTGAAAAATAGCTATACTAAACAAAATAAAAATAATCTAACTCTAGCATCAATAATAAGTATACAATCTCTATCTTGAAAATATAATAGATGTAAAAATTTAAAATTGACAAAAAAAGAGGCAAGTATAAAGTACTGTGTAATCTAGTGCAAGTAAAGTGTAGTTAGCATCTGTACATTAGCAGCAGTATGTTTACATCTGTACATTAGCAGCAGTATGTTTACATCTGTACATTAGCAGCAGTATGTTTACATCTGTACATTAGCAGCAGCATGTTTACAACTGTATATTGGCAGCCGTGTATTGCACATTCTGGTACAAGGTAAGGATATTGTCTCTGATATTATCAGAGGGAATATAAACACTGCAACCTCCAGATATACACAGAGACATGGCTGACCTCTGATAATCCGGACTCTAATGTGGACATGGATGGATTTCATATGATCCGGGCTGACCGGAGAGCCGCGAGTGGGAAGATTTGTGAATTAGAGTTTCATTCGGGCCTGAAAAATGAAGCCCGACCCGGCCCGAGCCCGCTAATGTTAAGCCCGAGCCCGTATAAGCCCGACCAATGAACGCTGTATAACAGGCCCGAGCCCGACAGAACCCGACACATCTGATTTCCTTGTTGTACGCACTCACCTTCCAATTGCAAGTTTAGTCTCCACTTTTGAATTTGTTTTGTCTCCACTTGATCCATTTCTACTATTCTTCCTGTTCGCTGTTGACCAGCATGCAGCAGGAGACACAGGGACGATGCGTTCACGGCTCGCTGCTGCTGTAGGACACGCTGGTTACGGTGTCATTAATATATTAACTTTTTTTAGTAACTTGTTGTCGATCAACGGACATTGTTATTATATATATATATATATATATATATATATATATATATATATATATATATATGCATAGTATACAAATCATTTAAAAATAATTATAATAATAATAAAAAAGAAACATATATTTAAGAAAAAGAAGCCCGAGCCCGGCACGAACCCGACAGCTGAGCGCCAAAATGAGGCCCGAGCCCGGCCCGAACTCAGGTCGGGCCTCGGGCCTGCTCGGGCTCGGGTTGAAAAGCGAAACTCTATTGTGAATACAGACTACTGCAAGCCAGCGCACTGCACAGTGAAGAGGCAGGTTTGTTGCAGAGACATTGAGCTTTTGGTTATTGGCATGCGTCCATACTATCTGCCACGGGAGTATAGTCACATTATTGTTACAGCAGTGTATATACCCCCTTCGGCCAAAGCTGACAATGCATGTGAGAGCCTCTTTTCCACCATGAGCAGTCTACAAACACAGCACCCACAGGCCCTGTTTATCATCACAGGGGATTTTAATCACGCCTCTCCAGCCTCTACTCTCCCATCCTTCACTCAATACATCACCTTTCCCACACGAGGCAGTAAGACATTGGATTTTAATATTTGTTAATGTGAAGGATGCCAGACGCTATATGTTAGCATTGGCTAATTCTTCTTCTGGGTCCACCCCCAACGGCCCGGGGTGGTATTGCAAGCATGTCAGCGCACGTCATTTTGGCCACTTTTGAGCTGGGACCAGTGGGGGAGTAGCCTGACTCTGGCCAGACCCATGTAGTTCGCTGCACTTCACCCATGAGTCTGGTACTGAGCCATAGTGGTTGGATTTCAGAAGGCAGGGCCTTGTAAAAAAAATCCTTGTGTGTGATTGGATAGACTACTTGTCCGTTATCTTGAATGAAGTCTGCTTTCAACCACTCACATCGAAGCACACGGCTCCCATAGGTTGCCAAATCCCAGCAATATTTTCCAACCCAAAATCCGTGAGAAAACCCACACACAAAAAACACTCAGAATGATTTTTTGGCTAAAAACGTAATATAATCAACTTGGGCTATCATGATTGTGTTTATTGTCTTTCTGTTTATTTAATACCTACAAGTCTCTTGGAAAAAAATATGCGGGAACCACGAAACCTGGCAACCCTGCTGCATAGTGTGTAAACAGGCCACTGAACCAGTGCTTCAACCAAACTTTATAGGAACATTTGACTTTTAAAACACACATTTATCAACATAGAACCATCAATATCTTGCCTCAAATTGCATTAAAAGTGACATCCGTGTCTTAATTCAATCGTATTTACTCTTTTAAAAAGATTCGCGGACTTTACGTCCGCCATCTTGGATTCCTCTCGCTGCTGCATGAGAGAAGCTTGAGAAGGCAGTGCAGAACCCACGTTACACTGGCAATCCTGATTGGTCGATTAAAAAATAATCTGGGGAAGGCGTTCGCTATGGGCTTGATACCATGGATCTATTATAATAACTGGATAGGGTATTACTAGCTTGTAGCTGAATAACCCATGTGCTCAGGGGATTCTCGCGGTACTGCAGACTGAACCAGACTAAATTCACGTGGGCTACCCAGAAATTTTCCCCATAGGACTCAATGCATATTAAAACAGCTCAACCTCTGCTGACAGAGAACCTATAGCTTTAATAAAGATCGGATTTTGTGGGGATTTTAGTGTCCCTTGTCATCCTGAACTTTTTTTCTTCTTAAATCCTTCGGTTTTGTTTAAATCCACACTTTAGTGCCACAAACTCTGCTCGTCTGGCTCTCGCTCTAACTCCCGCTCTGATGAACTGCTCTGATTGGTCAGAGCGCGGCCGAGCCCCTCTGTGCACGTGCGTGAGACCCGGTGTGAGACCCACACACGCGTGTTTGGCGCAACGCATTATGGGAGATCATCCACTGCGCAGAACCGGGAGGACCAGACGATGCCCAAATACAGGCGAGTTTCCCATAGATCTTTGCGAGTTTAAGGCAACTTCCGCTAGTCTTTCAGCCCCCATGCCGTCACAAAGCGCCACTGAGCACAACCATTCATTTGAATAGGGCGCCATCTTGGATCGCCGGGGCTTGCTCGATACCAGACCCATGTGGTTCAGCCAAACGCCTCTGGTGGAGCATGGCGGAACTACAAGGGTCTGGCAGAGCCAGGCTAGTGGGGGAGGGTCCCAGCTCAAAAGTGGCCAAAATGACATGTGCTGACATGCTTGCAATACCACCCCGGGCCGATGGGGGTGGACCCAGAAGTAGAATTAGCCAATGCTAACATATAGCATTGGCTTGCTATATGCTAACATATAGCATTGGCAGACCTCTCAAAAACGTCTTTACAGGATGGTCCAAAAGTTGGCTCTTGGCCCAAAGCTCCGTTCCACATGTGTGTCAATGCTGAGGGGGGTGGATTTTTTTGGTCCACTCTAGTTTACTTGCTGTGAATTTTTGAAGTCTCTCGATCAAATGAATGGAGTTGCGCCGGCTGACGCATGCGCGGATGCGTTTTTTCACAATTTTCTTGTGGGCAGGACCACTCGCGGCCATTTGGGATTGCTCCAGTAGAGCAAATTTTTTGGCCCGTTGGTTAGAACGGCGGAGATAGGAGTGACTCTGTCTTTTCATGGAGACAGCAGCTGTAGTGTGCTAACCATAGTGGTAACACCTGTTTTATGTATTGATCAGTGGTTTCGCTAGAGATCATTTCAGCCCGTCATAATGAAGGACAGGGTCCAAAAAATTCCGTCATAAGCTATTTTTATCCGTAATTTTATTTTCACGTTTGAAATACCCTATACGCTATTAATTAAACAATTGTATAAACAAAAACAATCTTTATAACGTGCTTTATTAGCTGTTCGTTTACAAATGTACAATACATTTAATTTGTGATTATATAAAGTTGCATAAAAATCGCAAAACAATCGACAACTCTGCGTAACATTTAACCTCCATTAACATGTGGAACAAACACGTACAGGAGTTTGCCTGAATGCGGTTATTAAACCTTCTTTCGCGGCTTTGTGGACTTAAACTGAGCACTCGCCTGTTCATAATTGAATGACTGAGTTGAGTGACTAGCACCACGAGTGCACCACGTCATGAGCTTTTATTAAACCTACACAGACATGGAAAGCGACACTGCAATAACCACAAACCCTATAAACGACATTAGTCGCCTCACATTGGAGTTTCGTGAGAGGGACCGTGCCACTATTGCAGACCTCCGTAAAGAAGTCCTTCGCCTCACTGCAGAGCTACAGGAAAAACAATCACTCGTGTCCAAACTTTTTGATGTCGCTGGCGGGCAGCACTCACGACTTATGTCACTGAGCGCTGCATACTGTGACACTGTCGTGTGGGAGAGGTCTGTCAGCTCTGGACCCTCCTGTTCTACACCTAAGCGCCCGGTTCCGAATGAGGAACCCGCGAACTGCGAGGAGCCATCCAGCGCCGTGGCCCATGTCCTAAGCCTGTCAAACCGCTATACAGCCCTCTCCACTGACATCCCAGCCCCCTCAGCAGAACCTCTGGACTCTGCAGCGTACTCTGCCGTTCGTGGATCTAAGTCCACTGCGAGAAAAACGCTCCTAAAGGAAGCCGTCCTCAGACGAAAGAGTGGTCATTCCCCTTCTCTGACCCCAGTGCATCACCACCACTTACCTTCACCGGGTCAACAGCAACGACCCGAGCCTGCTCCTCTCGCTGCTCCAGCGTCTCCG